AATACAGGTTGTCTCTAAATACAGGTTGTCTCTAAATACCGATGGTATATAAATGCAGGTGATCACATTAGCAGGTTTGGTTTGACTGTATATATGATTTATTTCTATATCTAATGAATAAGGTATTTTAGAATTGTATTAATATCATAGAAAAAAATGTAATACTTCTACAAGATTTATTCTAAACTTCAATTGGTTTTTAAATAAACATATCAAGTATAGTTGAGTAGTGTTTAGTTGTGATATTCCTTTTAGAAAGACGAGTCATTGATCTGTATTCCAATTAGCATCTGTCGACTCCCGTTACAAATCATAGCCCCTACAGCGGAAGTCTTGCCTCCTTGAGAAGATAGCAAAGAAGCCAGTTCAGTTAATCCCACTATTAAAGGAACAACTTGAGCTCCAGGCAGCGTTTTGATTTCACTGTTGGAATACTTGAGCACGAATTGCTTCAAGGAAAAATCTTCATTCTAAATTGTATCCTATGGTCCAGAAATTCTCCTCAAGGAATGGAATTCTCTGCTTAGTAATTGAACTTGTCAAGCAAATGTTTTCCGGAAGTAATCTTGTACAATTTTCTTTGTTGTCAATGCATGAATAAGCAACGAAAGAAGTCCTGCTTGAGCGCTTCCCCCACAGCACGGGGCAAATGTGCAGGCGTCGGCTGATAGGATCCTTTGTCTGCCGCAGACATGGAAATTAGATAGAAATTTTACGTTACCGCAGTAAAACTTATGTTTTTTTATTGAACAGATGTACATCAAAGGTTATTTCTAAAGATAGATATGTCTACACACCCTCCCTGAATGTTCATCATTTTTTGGTAATTAGTTTATATAGAAAATTGAGAGCCATTTCCTACAATAAAGATCACCTTCGGAAACTTTAAATGTTACCACAACCCCACCCTAACATTTTAACAGTGTTTAAGATCGGATGCTCAGACAGACAAAAAGGCACGCTGATAATGTTTGTCTACGGGGAGCAGTAATAGCTTTTAAATTCTATGCTGAATCTGCCCTGTCAGCTAACTCCGAGGCAAGGTATGGGTACTCCTCCGAGATAGTATCATTTCAGTTGGGCTGAATCAAGTCACCTTCATTCTGAGCAAAAGTGTCGAATTGTGAGACAGTTTGGCTGCTTGTGTAATTTTGAATTGAAAAGAACGATTCTGTCTGCTAAAATTCAAATGAGTAATGCATTTGTTTGTTTGTTTATGGTTTAATAGTCCAGCAACACGATATATTGATTAGGGTTTTTACAAAGTGAAATGGTAACACAGTCACAACGATTAGGGAGGCCACTTCAGACCATGACGTTGTAACCCACATGAGGGTCTTTTTGCTCCATGGTATGGTTCCGTTAAGCCAAATTCTTTCCATAAGCCTATGAGGGGAAAGGATAGAAGGATAACTGGATTAGTGGTGACTGGGATAGTGGGACAACTGGATTAGTGGTGGCTGGATAGTGGGACAATTGGATTAGTGGTGGCTGTATAGTGGGACAACTGTATAAGTGGTGGCTGGATAGTGGGACAATTGGATTAGTGGTGGCTGGATAGTGGGACAATTGGATTAGTGGTGGCTGGATAGTGGGACAACTGGATTAGTGGTGGCTGGATAGTGGGACAACTGGATCAGTGGTGGCTGGATAGTGGGACAATTGGATTAGTGGTGGCTAGGTAGTGGGACAATTGGATTAGTGGTGGCTGGGTAGTGGGACAATTGGATTAGTGGTGGCTGGATAGTGGGACAACTGGATCAGTGGTGGCTGGATAGTGGGACAACTGGATCAGTGGTGGCTGGATAGTGGGACAACTGGATCAGTGGTGGCTGGATAGTGGGACAACTGGATTAGTGGTGGCTAGGTAGTGGGACAACTGGATTAGTGGTGGCTGGAAAGTGGGACAATTGGATTAGTGGTGGCTAGGTAGTGGGACAATTGGATTAGTGGTGGCTGGGTAGTGGGACAATTGGATTAGTGGTGGCTAGGTAGTGGGACAATTGGATTAGTGGTGGCTGGATAGTGGGACAATTGGATTAGTGGTGGCTAGGTAGTGGGACAACTGGATTAGTGGTGGCTGGAAAGTGGGACAATTGGATTAGTGGTGGCTAGGTAGTGGGACAATTGGATTAGTGGTGGCTGGGTAGTGGGACAATTGGATTAGTGGTGGCTAGGTAGTGGGACAATTGGATTAGTGGTGGCTGGAAAGTGGGACAACTGGATTAGTGGTGGCTGGGTAGTGGGACAATTGGATTAGTGGTGGCTAGATAGTGGGACAATTGGATTAGTGGTGGCTGGAAAGTGGGACAATTGGATTAGTGGTGNTAAAAAGACTTTGCTGTATATCTGTCCAAGTGAAAGTTCTCCTTAACGATCATACAGGTTATGTATTGTCTGGGTAGGGGGTATTTTTATCCATAACCTTAATTAATATACAGTGAAGTGTTGGATGTTAACATATAAAATGTCAATTTTATTATCAATAAATTTCGCATTTTATCAGACATTGCTGCCGATGTGGTGAATGTTCACCTGAGGACTATAAAACGGTGTGAAGATGGGCTACCCCGTAAATTGAGGATCCCCTTGCTCCTTTGACATCTCTACCCGTTGACATTTTTGTGGGTGTACTTTATGGGGCTTTTTGTAACATTTTGGAGGACCCTCAGTAACGTCCCACCCTAACCTGACACTCATGTAAATTGCTCGGTTTATCATTAGTAGGAAACTTTTGAAGAGATACCTGAGTTACGATGTCTGAATATAAAGTACAAACGCCCCACCCTGAATACTGAGTCAGGAAACAACCCTACCGCGTCTCTAAGCCCACAGCCTTTATATGACAGTAGGTCAAATCTAACGCGGGGATTCAATCATAAATCTGTGGCAATGATTGAATAATGATTAAAAGTCGGCTGTAACAGAATATAACTGGCATTTTGTAGTCAGTAAATCCCGTCAGGTATGTGACCCTATCAAAGGTGGATGAAAGATCGTTACCACAGGTATTCAGCTTAGACATATACAAAGACACACAATGAGACGTTACCGCGAATAAAATTATATCTGTAAAATGGGGGAGGATCTTGACAGATATTTCTCGTTCTATATCCGTTATTGAAAGAGATTTCATGATCTACATAATCGAAATGACAAACAAAATGTTTCCGGTGAAAGCATAAAAGTATGAAGGTACACCCTGACCTAGCTATACAGATATGATAATAAAGTCATTTTCGTTATGCTTAACATTTTCGTACATCAGTCATCTAAAGAATTTCAGTTTGGTTGTGTCCTAGTAAAAAACCTTTAAATGTATAAAGCTAACGATTTTCCTGCTTGGTATATCACAAAATTGTTAGTGTAAGTGAAGTTTAAACATTTAACTAGAGATTTTAAATTCTTATCATGGTTTTGAATAAAAAATTCAAGTCTTTAAAAATATGTATGGTTGCTAGCTGGCACACTGAAAAGTAACGTCAAGAAAATCCAATACTAGCTCATTGAAATGTTATGTCAAGAAAATAATGGGCTGGCTCTTTGAAATGTCATGTCAAAGATATTATAGTGCTATCTTGCTGAAGTGTCTTTACAAAGATATTATAGTGCTATCTCACCGAAATGTCATGTCAAAGATATTATAGTGCTATCTCACCAAAATGTCATGTCAAAGCTATTATAGTGCTATCTCGCTGTATTGAATTGTCAAAGATATTATAGTGCTAGCTCACCGAAATATCATGTACAAATATCCCTAAAATATTAACTCCATGAAGTTAAAGTGTTATCTGTGTGAAATGTCATTTTAAGGGTATTATAGTGCTTTTCCTCCAAAATCTCACTTTAAACTTAGTGCTATCATACCGAAATGTCACGTAAAACTCTCACACTGAAATATTCTGTAAAACTGAATGTAACGTCCTATCAACAGCTATAAGGTCATTTAAGGACATTAACTCATTCACCCCTGAAGTTTAATAATGAACTATTCCAACCTTTGAATTGGAAGAGTTCAAATGTGTCTTCAGGGGTAAATGAGTTCAACTTGTATATAATTTGCTTATAATCTTTCAATTAACCGCAAGTCTAGTTTAGATATGTAGGGTTCAGTGAGTTAATTAAGATCAGTACATCCTTTATTTAAGCCAATAAGATGCAAGAGAAATGTACTGTAGTGTCAACTTGTGTACTGTGTGGCCTCAATATTGTGTCAGATTGTCTAACATAATATTATCTTAACAATTCACTTCCTTAACAGAACTGATTCATTTCTAAATTGACTGTGATAATAAACTCTGAATATGTGTTAGCTATCACTAGCGTTATTATCATAAGAAATCACATAGAAATCATTCCACACGTTCTTCCTTATTTTCAAAGTTGGATTATCTCCCTTTGTGGCCTTGATGGTCAGGTGGCCATGTTTGCGTAAAAGCTCAGAAAGTGTTTGTTTTTGTGAATTTGTTCAGAACAAATCCAAAGTGGATCAATGATAATAAAAACAGCATATGGTCAAAACGGGTTGTTAACTAGGTATCTCCATTACTCTGTCCAAGCCTACATTTAGCTAATCACCCTTGACCCATGGTACTGACCACTCCAACTGGTCAGTCAGTGTTAGGAAATGTTGCCAACTGGTTTATGTTTCTCTAATTCTGTTTGTATTTTTAAGTGGTAATTAGGATTTCAATTATTTTACTGATAAATTTTTTATAAAGTTTTCTATCCTTATGAAGCTGTTTTGAGAGAAAAGACATTTTATTCAGCCTTTTCCGCACCAAAATTAAAGGGCTTCTTTGCCATCTTTCATGCAAAATAATTTGTGATTTAAAATTTGAAAAAAAGAAAGAAAGAAAAAAATCATTTGATTTGTGTGTGAGCAGGTGCAATTTTGAAAATAGCTTATAATGGTATACTTGGTTAGGTTTGGTTTTAGTTTGTTTACAATTTTCATTTGGTTTTCCAATATCTTCCACATGCATAGTGACATTCATTACCTTCCAACAGGTGAGCTTGGTTTCCATGGAAACTTAGGCAGGTGTGCTGGGATCAAAATATACTGCATACACACCACTTGTAACTGGATCTTTGACAAGCTCGAGAGTGAAGTGCCAACTAAAACCCCGGTGTAAGAGATAAGACATTAATAGTAATGAGAAGATATATAAAAAAATAACAGCTGTTCGTCTGATCTGACACGGACAGGGAGAGTAAGGTCCGTGTCTCTCCTGACATCACTTCCTGTAATTCGAAACAAATTCAGCTTTGTACCATTTCTAGTGATAAACAGGAAACTAGGGTATCATCTTTGGGTCCATCCCTATCTGTACAGTTCACGGGTCAAATTTGAAAGTTAAAAGTGTTTAAAGATCTGAAGGCAGATATCGGTAATAATATTTCAGATGTTTTACGAGTTAATTTTAGCCATCTAATAAAACTGTGCTTGTATTTTGGGTGTGTTTTCTTACAAAATCTTCACATAAATGTATAATGCATATTACAATTTGATACAGGTGATTACATGAGGTTTCGAGTAACAAAGAAAAAGAGCTATGTTTGTCATCTACTGTGGTACCGCCCTTAAAATGATCCTAGCATATCCAAAAAAAGTTATGTACTGTTATGTAAATTTCTTTTTCTGGATCAGGTGAAATAAATGGTTTGGAGATCAAGGGCGACTGATATATATTATACAGCAGCCCACAACTTGTTATTTAAAATGTTTAAAGAAATATCCAAACCTTACAGGAATTGTATTCTAATGTTTGAGGAAATGATACACACCTGCATAAAATATTTTTTATCTTTTTCATTTTTTGTGATACATTTAAAATAATTCATATCTTAACTGAAACTTTCGTCACACAAAAACGGATTAGAAATTTGGGTAGTGATTCACAACTGCGAACTTTTATGGAAAGTTTGCCGAAAATCCATCTTTAACTGTAAGTAAACACTTTAATGTATTACTGACCTCTAAGTCAGTGATAAATGTGGTCTATGTTCTGGGCTGCAGTATTTCTGACTCACGGTACATGTACATGCAGAATGGCATGCTCTCACGATAAGTGTTTACAAACTCGTGAGTAATTGATAATTAAACATAGCACTTTACCGCAGAAAACTCACTGAACTAGCCAAGTTATCTGTGTTTAAAAAAAAGATAAAGACAAACATCTATACTTTCTCCATGTGATGGAAATATTTTGCTTCTGGTTGGAGAAAGATTAATAGAATTTTTGACCCCCTTGGTGGTAAACTGTGGGAGACCTCAACTAGAGGGGGAAATAGTCAGAAATTGTCAAACATAAAGAAGTCTCGCTGCTTGTTTGGCAGACTCATAATCTTTCCTCAAGACTTGAGATCCCCCCTCTTACACCTAAAGAAGGGATACAATTCTTTGTCTCTTACCCTATTGACCATGTGATAAATTATGGAATGTTGACATGATGTCAACCCATTATTGATGTGTTGTCATACTATTGTAATGACTGGGGAATCCCTTTTTCTTTTACCCTCAGGACAGGTCAACAGGGTAAAAGAAATTAAATGTATTCATCTTTATAATGATAAAATATTAAATATACCTACTGTTGGTCATATTTAGCTTTGTAGATATTAAATGAGTTCGGCCAAATAGAAAATGTTTGTAGAAAGTAAAGAAATCAAGTTGACCAAACTTTTGAAGCAATCCACAGTGAGAATGAGTTGTGTATAGGAATGTATGTTCTTATCTACCAGGGAACGAACTTTGTAAGACAACCAAAAAAAAATAAACCAAGAATGCTTAAACCACCCGAAATAGCAGATCTTTCCCATCCTCCCATCCACACTTCCTACCGGACACACCTGTACCTCTCATGGGCTTATCTCTCACTAGATTCTATCGGGAGGACTGTAAAATCTTGGTACGACTATTCAGACGTCACATCTAATAGACCGCCAAGCTGTTAGGATGCACAATGGAACAATTTTCACTATCGTAACGTTATAACTGATGTGTTGAAAATTTTCATCATAAAATTTAAATGTTCCATATTTTTAAGTGACATTTTTCGACTTATCAATGAACGTCATCTTACGGAGAGATTTATCAACATCGTACAAAGCCTATTAAACATGGAAATTGTGAAACTGTAATTTTATAACTTGTAAAGATAATGAATGAAAGATTGCTCAGATGATATGTTACGATGTCGAAGCCATCAAGTCGCGGAACGTTACTCAGCATTCAGTATGATGATAACAATCACAATTTATTCCATAAAGATGCAACATATGGCAGCTATTCCCTGCTTTAAAAGTGAGTCTAAAAACTAGAACTGTCTAGTCATTTAGCCAAAGTAGTTAATCATCTGGACTATTGTGTCCATAATGTCTAAAAAAATAATGACTTTTTAATGTTTCTTCCGCTGCTTCATCAATTAGAATATTTTTTATCAAGATCTAAAAACTAAGTGTCTGGCTGCAAGTTAGCTGAATTTGCCTTTGGTTTGACTAAGGGGAAGAAACTCTTATACTGTGTTCTTTGACTGAACTATTGTATTTGAATGAGGGGAAGCAACTCTTAAATTATCTTCAGAATTTTATTCCAGTTTATATTTGATCTAAGGGAGGCAACTCTGGTGCTGTTGGATGAAAAGGAAAACCATATGCCTAAGATCATACATTGAGAATCACAAATAAGATTCCATAACATTTTTCTGCATCAAGCATCATAAAAGAGAGAATGTGAGTGAAATTGAGATTCTCTAAATCATATACCAGTGGGCAATTTACATATCATCTGAAATAACACAGGTTTTCTCCTTAAAATAATCTGGGAATAACATAATGAGAAAAAAGGGGCCCATTTTCACTTTTTAACCTGAGTTCCTTGTAAAATTACAATGGGTGGGGGTTTTCATATTTATTTGTGTGATGGTTTTCTTACCATTAATAATATTAATATGTGACTTTAGGGGTGAACGGGTTTTTAGGTAGTAGCATATTATCATACATATAGCTGTCAGTAGTTCCTTATTAGAACGCAATCTCGCTAAGTTGACCAAACTTTACAAAACCCCTTCCAAAAACTCTCATTCAAATTTGATATGACATGAATTTAACATTTAATAAATTTACATCATGGGATGAAATGATCTCCCATTTCCTGCAAGAGATGCATAAAAGACAAAAAAAAAAATATGTTTGGTAAATAAGTTAAGCAAAAATTTTGCAGATATCTCCACAAACTTTCTCTTCAATTTAAGAAATAGAATGACGGAGATCACCTGCAGGGTCATTGGGGGTCACAGAGGTTAACATCTTTGTCAAAATAACCTGTTGTCTTGTAAAATTTTGGGGGAACAAATAGGAATCTGTAGGCCACAAATCATGCTGAGCTATGTAAAGATAATAGTCCTTCATAAGGCCTTGACCCGAAATTTGGACTTTCAGACATTTTTATTGCGCATATTTATTTGTGATATCATAAATATCTCATAAATTGTTTAGTTTCAGGTACATAGAGTGCTTCAACACCTAATAAATCTCTGTGGACTCTTCTTTCCTACTAAGGGACAAGTCCATTATTGTGTTGTAAGGGGTGTTATAAGGGGTGCTGTATGACCTAGGCCAAATTAATTGTTTAAAGCTTGATTAAGCTTCACTCTTTGTAAAAACAAAAGCAAAATCCTATTTGTTTAAAAAAATCAAATCAAATTCAAAACTGAAATACATATAGTGAGTCAATATGATTGTCCTAAAACAAGAAAAGCAAAAAATATTTGGAATATTTTGGACATTTCTCAAAATTAGTACTTTGAAAATTTGCATTAATGATGTAGCAAGATGATGAGACTTTAGGCAACATGAGCCCTGGTCTGTACAGGTTTTTTAAAGTTTGGTTAACTTAATGAAAAAAAAAATCTATTTTTTTTTTAGATTTTACCAAAAAAAAAATGAAAATTTGAAATAAAAGTTCATGTGGTAAAAATAGTTGATGACAAGCACAAACTAAGAAACACAAAAAAAGTAATAAGAAAATCAGAAATGTTTTGTAAAACATTGTGATTTAATAATTGATGAAGCTGACCATACTTTGAACGTCCTGTCGTGATGATATATCAGAGACCTAGCTATAGCCAGGGGGATGTACTAGTGCACACCTCTGTCCCACTAGAGGTCCATGCCTGTCTCACCTCTGCCTCACCTGGGGCATCTGTCACACCTGTAACAAGATTTTACTTTATGGTTCTTAGCTGATTAATCTGAGTCATTTGATAGCACTGAGATCTTTGAAGCCTCATTCTAAACCATTCTGGGCTTGAAATAATTTAAATCAACTACAAAATGTAAGACTGTTGAAATCTTGCTTGAAAATTAAAAAAATCAAAGATTGTAAAAGAAAATTCTTTCCGTTTTCCAGATTTTTGCCAGAGTTAAATATGTCCAAATGACAAACAACGTAAGTTAATTAACTTGCGGTTTCATAAGTAATGAAGGTGATAAAAAAAAGACATCGTTCAATCCAGCTTCATAAAAATCCCATGGAATGATAATTGAGAATTGAGGAATATTCCTTGATACAACATTTTTGTATTTTATCAGAAAATTGATAAGGTGTATGTTTGCACCAAGACCTACACAATTGTCATGTCTGTGTTTCGTAATGGCAATACCAATACTGTGCCTGTCATTCCCGAACATTTCGTAGGTAGATGTCAATATCTTGTCACGAACTGATAATTGATATAGATGATATATTTATTGATGTCGTCCTTATATCCTATACATCCTATACAATCCTGAGAATAATATGAATACAGGCCTCACGAACTATCCTTGACACTCATGAAAGCCTCTTAGTTTTATCATATTTCACCTAATAATTAAGCTTCTTGAATGTTAAGAAATTTCGAAAATAATTGACTGATTGCAGAATCTTTCAAAATTCTTCAAGAAGTAAAGATATGAGACAATTTTATCAATAAGGTCTGTAAATCATTACGAAGGGATGGGACAGTCCGTTCATAAAAAAGACAGGGCACTTATATATTGGATGGGTGTTTTTTAAGTTAAATATGGTTAACATTGCAATAATGTATGGCCAGAGAGCTGTGCATGGTTCTGTAAAAGATTAGGATTTATAAAAACCTAGATCTTTATAGACATACGTAGATCGAAGGACAACCATATATTCAGGTTCGACTCTTTATATGCTTTTCATAAAACGATAACAAGCTGATCACAAAAGGGCTAAAAATAATTTCAATGAAATGAATAATTTCTTTATTCATATTAAAAAGAAATAAAATGAATGAGATTGGGGTTTTTTTGTTCAAAGAAAGTTTTCACCTGTGTTAAGAGAGAAGATGAATCGTTAAAAGCCATTGTTTTTGTTGGAGTCACTTAACTATTCAGTAATATTTAAAGATACCACCTACCAAGGTTTTGTACAATGAAACCTGTCTAATCTGACACCTAGCTGGTGGGATCAAGAAGATTAGTTGGATTACGTAGGGTGTCAGATTACATAGTTGTATTTGGTAGTTTTGACAAGAAATAGGATTGCAGCTGTATTATGAAATTCAACAGGATGCATATATTATCAGGGGTCACATTAGACAGGATGGCATAATACCCAGGTGATCACATTATACTGGATGGCAGAATATTCAGGTGGTCACATTATACAGGATGGCAGAATAATCAGGGGTCACATTAGACAGTTTTATTGAAGGAAGGAAAAAATTGAGCACTAGCCAGCTTTAACCCTTTCACCCCTAGGTAACTTTAGTAGACTCTACCATGCATTTGTGGGGATGAGTCCATTATGGTCTACAGCAGTGAAAGGGTTAAAAATGACCACCTGTGTGGAATGACTGCCTCCTACTGAGGACTGGTCATTCTAAGCATCCCCTCTACCTGGACTAGTGTACACAGGATGTGATTCAAACCTTATTAGGAAGCTTTCTTCATTATCACTCCATTAGTTCTAAGGGTCACTTTACAGGGTCAGCGGTCATCTCCAGATAACTGGACACAATCACTGTTACATATCTCTCCTAAGTAAACACTTATGGTTCATTATTCCACTCAAATGTGTGGGACTGAGATTCTTGAATGATGAACCGAAGCAATGACATTTCTTCCATTCGGTAGTTTGTGGGTTTTACGCTTTCTGTGTGTCAATTTCACCGTATAGAACAGTGACTCAATCAGGTGGAAACACCGGTAGTGAATCTCACCTGAGCTTACCTGTACACTCTACTGTTTTTAGACAGTTATAAATGTTTAAGAGGCACCTGGAGGATTCTCTTTTTTAAAATATCAACTTTTGAATTTTAATACTCATTATAACCACAAAAAAGAAAAACATTTTTGAATTTTCAATTCTTAGAATTATCAATTTATAAATGTCATGTTGACAAAAATGTATAAGTAGGAGAATTTTTGTAGTGTGAGCTTGATTATGTAAGGTCCATCTGTGATTGTTGGCAACGAGATATTTACCCCTCAGGGGGCCCCACACTCAGTGTGTCTATATGTTAAGTGTATACATGTACTACTAGTTAGACTCTGATTATTTGGTCAGTGTTACACTTGCCAGACTTACCTGTAATAAACAGACAGGTGTTCATCAACACACTTGATGGATAAACTTACCTAATGAGCATCTATTGTGTTGATTTCCAAAGGAAATAGTGTCAGTCAAAGATTTTAAGTATTGGGCAGGCGTATAGCCATGGGTGACTATTCCATGTGGCGAGTGTGGTGGAAATGACTGTAATGCGCTCGTCAAGCGTCAGATTTTAAGAGATGGACGTTAATTTGATTTTCACCATAAAGGATATATACAAGTTATAAACATGGCTTCCGCAAATAATTCGACTTCGTCTAACAGGACGTTTACTTCTTCAATCTTCATCACAGTAGGTAAGTCAAAATCTCAATTTTACAGTTTTACAAACACATGTATTTGAAACTTTTGTTCGTAATGGCATAAGGACGTTTGAGTGTACAGCTATGTGACACACCTTTTTTTTGTTTTATTATTAAGTTGGATTAAATATCTCCATAATATGTTTGTATTGTTACATCAATGTTTGTACGATCTGTATGTTTTACGTATTTATTTAATGGATTTTATGTATATAATCCTGCGAGTCCTCAGTGGCTAGTGTAACCCTGTGAGGTCACACCCCCTATATCTCACAAGTAGCTGCTATGTTGACAAAACATACGTGAGCCCCGATAAAGAAGGCCTTACTCGGAAACTAAAACACTTGATAAACTTTCTCGTCTGCATTTTATACAAAAACCTGTGTTTACTGAAGGTCTACTTATATCTATAAGTAAACAGTCAACTTGAATTATAAAAATGAAACGATTTATTAAAAAAAATCAAAATTCAAAAGAATATTTAAATTCTGTTTTTTTACAGTATTGTTCAAAAAGACATTTCAAAGTTCGATCAAGTTTAGTTTTGTTTCCATTCATAGTAAAATTGAAAAGATTCAAGTCAACGAAAACTTTTGTAAGCTGACTTGTCTTAAACAGAACTTTGCTCTTCTATGTAGGCCACAGCATAGTCTACAGGTATTCTATCAAACGCAAGGACGATACAGAAGTAACATATGTTTCCGATATTCAGTCCGTGTCAATTAGTGATAATACAAATTAGTGTACATAATTTGCTATCGACATGCAAAATGAAATTTACTTCAAATATTTACTTTTTAAAATATTCAATGTAAAAGATCTACATTCATGTAATTTACTTCAAAAACATTTTTGTTAAATTTATTCCCGACATATATTGGCATGTGAGAAATAATTGTGGTTGTATTTTCAAATTCCCTTTTCGTTGAAATATATGCCTTCCAACAATATGTCATTTTTTTCGAATCTATTGATCATAATTTTAATAATGGATGACTCGTAGATTAATATTTGTACTCAAAAAAAGGCGGAATATGTTCAAATGGGGTCGTGCTTTGTTGTGGGTGTCTGGGGTCGTTATTTATAGCCCTGTCCCCATTGATCAGTGTTTCAAGTCATTCAGCCATTGTGTCGAAAGAATAGATTTTGATATGGTTCGTCACTCGGAGGTATTTCTGACCGCGTTACCTGTAGTGTTTTTTTTAACAGACACGTTACATCACAAATAGGAAACTGTGTGTTTGGTTAATTGTATTAGTGTAATAAGGGTTGGGTCATCACTCAGGTATTTCCGACAAATCATCGTACCTGTGCATTGTTTGGAACAGATAATAACTATAGGTATGCATTATAGCCTCAGACATGTCTGTCTCCCTGATGTATGGCTTCAGTGAGTTTAAATACAATAAAACCTTTCGATAACGCACCTCGTTTCGTTTACCATTTCACTTACAACCATTGTTAAATTTTATTCCACCGCTCATTTTCATCTTTCCTTATCAATACTTTTTATATACAGTAGCTTCCTCAATATTGACTCAGAATGTCAGTAAAACCTTGCTTATGATTAACGCCCTTCGTCTCATTTACCTTTTCACTTACAGCCGAGATAAAAAAAATATTCCACGGTCCCATTTTCCTCTTTTTTTTTAATCAATCCTTTTATATGGCTTCCTGTATTGTCCCAAAATGACTTGTTCTTGTATTTACCCTGCAATGGTTCATGGCCAGGCATAATTTAGGACTCAAGGTAGGGGGGCAGGCTTATTACAAGACAATGAAATGTCTTCTGTATCCATTTCTTCTGAGCTGCAATAGATATATGGATGGGCTTATTACTGGACATGTGCTGGAGCCTGGAAACTGGTAGTTTGAACCGTGGTTACCATGGAAACCTGACTCATGCCTTAAAAAATGTAGAATTTTCAACTCAATACCCAAAATCAACCCCAAAACCACAGAAGGCAGAATTCACATGTTTTCTTTTGTGAAGAGAATAAGGAAGCTAAAAGGAAAATAATATTTGAAATAACTTGATGTCCATTGGTATTGCTGTTGACATTGTCACAATTCTCGCTGAAATTATACTCACACTGGTATAATAAGAATTTAAATCTTCAATATTTTAAAGCGATCTAAACCTGCCTACAAATATTCATGGAATATGTGTTCGCCTTTATCGTGATTCAGTTAAACTTTCTGAGGTCATTTTAGCAGGATGTTGGCTGATGTACTTAGATATTTTATTTCCAAGTTAGTGACATTTGAATACATCTGCAATGAGCCACTTATCGCCATGCCAATATTTCTCATGCAAAACTGTTTTTCATGACAGAAGAGTTCTGTCGATTCAACTTATTTATGTAAGGTCATTGGGTAGAAAACATACTTGATGATGAAGTGTGTTTTTATAATGCATATACCAAACATTATATAACCACCGCTTCAGGGGACAAGTCATTATCTGCCCAGGAGATCTAGAGTAACTAATGGTCCCTTCCAGCCATCATTTCCTGTCAACACAAGGAAGATTTTCATCACAATTATAAGGTCACCAGGTGCAGTTAATACCATCCCTGTCAGTTGTAGGAGAATTTATTCACCAATTGAGGTTAAATTGATGTTTTATCGGAGAGGTCTGAACTTGAAACTGTTGGTCTACACGTATGTGGGGACTCGATCATTCCCTCGATCGCAATATCTCTTGCCAAAAACTTTGTTACCATGTAAGAACTCGAATAAATAATATAAAGTAAATAAATTTTCCAAGAAGTGAGAAGTCCCACATGGTTGTACAGGTGGCCCAATATCTTTTCGTGTCCAATTACAGAATCGAACCCTGGCCATTTTTGTGAAATGTAAGTGCACTATCCACTGTGCGTGACGTACCAAATCACTCGTCAATTATTGATTAATGATGAGTTAAATGCTGATAAAGTATGAACATTGCAGATTTGAACATAGTTTCAAGCTCATATTTAAATGAAAATTCAAATGAAAGCTCTGTAAGAATTTTGAAATATTTTGCAGTAAATTTTGGGCCGTTATTAATTTCTCAAGATCATCCTTTTTATTTGATATTTTCCAGACATCATAAGGCATGCCCCTGGGAAAAAGATGTAGAAAAGTCACTGTTTCATTTACGTTTTTTTTTTTTAGTAGAATTGCACCAAAGTTTTATTTAACTGTAGATACAACAGTTCATGTTGAGTTGTCTGTGTTTTTTTGTAAGGGTTGTAATTTACAGTTGTTGTAGAATTACACACTAGATAATTTATACCTTGATCATGATAACACGTACTGTATCATAACACCATGTGTGTGTACATATGTATATCATATCTACCTCCTGCAGTGCTCCTTATCAAACTTATCCTATATTTGATTAGATAATTATTATCTCAGATCATTTACTTCTGTAATAGATACAGTCACATTGATATTCACCGAATATGTCTATACATATATAGCCGTTTGTGAAATCGGTAGTAATTTGTTTGTCTATATATACTGGGGTTTCATTTGACCCTTGACATTTAACAATTTCAGACGACAAATTATTTTTCTTTCAAATTTTGAGGGTCAAAACATATGTTTATTTCTTAACTCATTCACCCCTGAGGACACATTTGAACTCTTCCAATTCAATGGTTGGAATAGTTCATTATGAAATGTTAGGGGTGAATGCATATACTTGCCAACTCTCCCTGTTTCGGAGGGAGACTTCCGATTCCAGAATCTATACCATGGAAATTAAATAAAGTTGGTAAATATGTGAATGAGTTAAATAGACATGTCTTTTCAAACCAAAGAGTCAAAGCTCATTTTGGGGAGTCAAAAATATACTCTGAAGAGTCTACTGAAACTCCTGCTATATTTGTTTCCTTGAGTTCACAAGAGGAGTCAAACTCACACCTACAAGCACACCAGAATTCAAACACTGCCAATTTTTCAGTAACATATGATTTGAAAAATAAAATTTATTAAAAGGCTCATTTCTTTTGAAGATGTGATAGATTTCTCATGGACTTTTATTTTTCTTAATGTTCAGATTGTCTATACCTTCTAATTAAGTAACCATCTTTTGTAAGTTTACTTCCCTGCATTGTTAATGTCCATTCATACAGCTGGGTTGCATTGGTAATGAGTTAATGATGATGTGATTGCTGGTCTATCACAGGACTAAGCTACCAGTACTTATTAGCACTATTGTTATCCATGAATTGATACAGCTGGGTAGATAAATAATGAGTTATCATCCTTTACATTAGAGTCCCAGTCTATCACATATTTACTTACTAGCATTGCAATGTCCATTAATGTGACTGGGTAGATTATTTTGTATAGGACTATACAATAGTGTACCAGAGATAGCTGGTATGTAGCATAACACTAGTATATAGAAAATAATATGTAAATCTATCAAGTGTTTTCTTCCCAGTATAGAGGACACCCAATTGTACTGTCAACCAGTCTAATACCCAATACCTTTTTGTCCTGGACAGGATCTGAAATCAATAAATATCTGTATACAGAATTGAAGTTAAATGGTATTTTTCTGTATTGAACTGTATGCTTCAAATTGTATGCAGAAGTTTACATGCAAAATTCATTGGTTGAAACAGAACACAATTTTGTGACAATTCAGATATTGGTTTCATTGAAATATTTATCAACATTTTCACCATACAGGTGTACAGGTGTACAATCAATTACATGTTACTGACATCCGATGGTGTCGATTTCATGTGGGCTCTGATATTTGGACAATGTCAAATGTTATACTGTGTTCATATACTGCTGTTAATAATTTACGTCTAAAACACAGGTCCGGGATTCCACTCTCTAGGGACTGTTTTTTTTAGTCGGGAGAGGGGGGGAGGGTTATTGACTTTTTAGGGAGCAAAAATGAGGTATGGGGTCATTTTTT